TCTCAGGATACAGCAGGAAATGGAACTAAGCCTCTGCCTTCATGGAGCTTATGTTCTGGTATAATGTAGGTCAGGCATGTTATGTATGTCATCTCTTTTATTAAAATTGTTAGACAGTTACTGCTACCTCTGCGGGACAGATGGTGAAACTGAGATACAAAGAAGGTTTAATAATCTGGTCAAGTCTCATAGACTGGTCAGCTCTAGACCCAGAAACAAAGAGAATTAATTTCTCAGAGCCCCCCCCAAACCCCTACCCTGCCTGTAGTGGAGCCAAGATTTGAACTCAGGTCTGTCTGATTCTAGAGCCCCTGCTCTGGGCCGCTATAACATGATATTGCCTATGGGTCTATGCATACACTAGCAGGAGCACCCTGAAGGAGCTGGCTTGGGTATTTAAAGGGATGAGCACTAATAAGACCACAGAGGGAATCCTTGAGAGGATCAGGACATCCCACTTCCTCTGTGACTCAAGCCCATGGGCCAAGTTCTATAGTAGAGAGGTTCTGTTCTGCATCTCTCTCTCTCTCTCCCCACCGCCCCCCCCGCATTCTTCTCTTTATGCTTTTTTATTTTTCACATCCTGAGCTAAGACCCCACCAGCTTTGTCTTACTTATTATAACTTCTCTTTGAAACTCAATGTATCCATGAATTTAAAAAAAAGAGGTATTTGAACATGCCCATTAAAATTTCTTAAAAATTTTAAAGGGGGAACTTGGATTAGTTGGTCTCTGAAATCCCTCTAGCTCTAGAATTCTTCAATTAAGGGAACAGTCTGCCGTGTTCTGTCCCACCCTCTGCCTACTGAGGGCTTCTTCTTGAGATCGCTGGAAGCCCTGCAGATGTTGAGAAGGAGGCAAACACCTTGAGTAGCGTTCCCACACTGGCTCTGAAGGACTCCTTTGCAGGGATGAAATGAGAATTTCATTTTTAAGAGCCTGAGAGAAGTGGCTCTCAGATGGACCCCTGGCCAGCAAAGGAAGGGCAGAAAAGGGGGAGAGTCTACTGGGGGTCCACAGGGACTCAGTCCAGGCACTTGCCTTTCTTCTTGGAGGTACAGGGTCGACCAATCCCAGAATCATTATAGCAAAAAGGCTGAGGTCAAGAAAGGTGGAAGGCAGCTGGGCCTATCTGGGGCCCTAGACTCAGCCAGGAGGGCAGACTGTACCCAGGACTCTGGGAGAGTCTAACTAGAATGTTCCTGGGAGGAGGAAAACATTGCCCAATGGTGATGTGTGACAGAACAAGGTGAGACAGGTCCCAGCTTTTCGCCTTGACCCTGGTTCACCTCTCCTGCCTCGTGGCCGGCCTGACCGGTCAACCGCTCTAATGTGATCTTTGTCAATTGGAAAAGTGCGTCGCCTGGATGACCCAGCAGCTCAATGCAGCCGGAGTCCCCCTGATACGCTTAGTCAACTTATTATGTTACACAGGAAAAATCAAGATGGAATATTAATTCCACACACCTCTCTCTTCAGCCTGGGGAACCTGCCTTCCTGGGTTTCTCTTTTCAAAGGCTGAAATAGATATGGAGATTTTGTGCTTAATTAAAGGAGAAGGACACTCACTTCAAGTCTTTTCAAAACCATTTTGGTTCTGTGCTCACTGGAGCCAGAGAAGAGCTAATCACCAGCTGGCACAAAAGGTGTTAACTCGCAATCTCTGGTCAACTCTAGACATCAGACTCAGAAACAAAGAGAATTAATTTCGCAGAGCCCCCCAAGCCCCCACCCTGCTTGAAAGCTGAGAGCCTACGTATTGACTCGCCAGGTATTAAAAAGTTTGCTCTGAGAGGTCACCTGCTATGCAGAACACCAGGTGCCAGAGCTCAGCAGCAGGACAGATTATCTTATCAGCCAGGCTGATAAAACCCATGAAAGTCTGGCCATAAGGAACAAATATTTATAAGCCGGACACCTTTCAGCCCATAGCAGATTAGGCACAGAATGCGAGCAAGGGCAGAGGGCCGCATTAGCCATCGACTTTGGGCATTGGAGCCTGGTTCCGGTTCAGAAGCTCCCTGGGCTTCTCTGGTCTCATTAAGAACATGTGTGCATGTTGAACTGTTAAAGGAGGCATTTTCCCATCCATCACCTCACATGACCTGGGTATAGCCCTGTGAGGAGAGAGCTATTTTTAGCCTTATTTTATAGTTGAAGAGACTGAAGTTCAGAGAGGTTAAGTGACTTGCCCATTTGCTCAGCTAGGAAGTGGTACCTGAACTCAAGGCTTCAGATTCAGGAAACTCTGTGCTTTCCACAGGCCAGTGGAAAAATGGTGGCCTTTACTGGATCTCACTTGGTTGTCCTTTTAGTCTACAGCTCCCTAGAGGTCCCCCAGCTTTGCTCCCCAATCCCCTAGGCCAAGTCTTGCTCTTGGCAGATGAGGGCAGATCAATACCTTATAGAGAGATAAAAAGAGATAGTGGACCCACAGGGATGGCAGAGAGCAGCTATAAGATAGCCCTTGAGCCCAAATACTTATATCCCTGGAGTCTCTTCTTGATGCTTGGAATTCATTCCTTTGGGTACTCAAGTGATTCTCCTTGGGAAGGCAAATAAATGCACAGGCATGAGTGAGATGCTCTTTGTGCCAGGGATGGGTGGGCCAATTGCTTTCCTCTTACCCTCCCTCCTCAGGGGGCCTGGGTCCTCTCCCCTGTAGAAAAACTCACACTAGATGTTCCTCAAGGTCCCTTCTGCTCTGACCTTTTAGGCAAAGTCTCCTGGAACTCAGAGCCCTAAGCCCTTCTCTTTTATTTCTTAGCAAGGAGGAGCCAGGGTCCTGGAGGAGGCCACTTCTGTGCCTTGAGGAGAGGCAGTGAGTAGCTGGGGTGGGGAGGCATCCTGTGCAGGGCCTGGAGGTGACGGGGAAATGCTGAGCCTAAGCAATTATGGGCAAGTCACTGTGACCAAAGCTGAGAGTACAAGAGGGTAAGAGGTGAGGCTCCAGAGATAAGCAGGAGCCAGATCCCAAAAAGCCTCATAAGGCCACGTCAAGGAGCTCAGGATTTCTCCTGAACACAAAAGGGAGCCAAAAAGGAGTTCAAGTGAGGGTGTGGCATGACAATATTTGTGCTTCAGAATGTTCTCTCTAGAGCATGTATGGAAAATGGTGGGGGTGGGGGAGCGGAGAAGAGAAGGTGGTGTGTGAGAGAGAGAGAGTCCAAGTAGACTTACTTCTGTTTTCAGCTCCCTTCCCCTGACCTAGCCTTGTTTGGTCATGAGCCCTACATTTGCAAGAACCATGAAAATAGCTACCATTTATAGATGTTTACTTTGTACCAGGGGCAGTGTGGGATGCTATTCACGCTTCATCTCATTGAAGCCCCATCAGAACCCCATGAAGTAGGGTTCTGTTTTACAGATGAGAAAACTAGGCTCAGAGAGGCAGGTCACGCAGCTGGCCAGGAGTAGCACCAGGACCCAGTCCGAGGTGTGGCTCATTCCAATGCTCCTGCACTTAACCACAAGCTGTCCTGCTCCCTGAGATGGCCATCCCTGCCTGCACGGTCTGTGCTCTCCAATGTGGAATGAAGCCCCGTTGGTCAGCTTCCTGCATCAGGGCAGAATGAGAACAACTGTAGTTGGCCTACATGTCATGTGCTGGGTCCCCTTTAAGCAACCTGCAGGTGTCTGGGGAGGGTGAGAGGCTTTTGGGAATGTCTGGGTTCTTAGGGGCTGGTTCACCTCTGCCTGACTGAGATGAGATGGAGCTGGGTCTGTGATGTACTTGGTACTTGACTTGCCCCCACCCTCCTCTCCTGTGGAGGGGCCTCTCAGATGATCCTTAGGGCTTCAAGAGCCATTTCTCAATCCAAGGGGAAACCCAAAACCACACTTTCCAGAAGTGGGAAGACCCATTGTCTCCTTTATACCCAGACTTTCCTAAAGGGGTGTCTGGGTGAGGAAAGCTGGGGGGACCTAGGTGGTTAGAGGAAGAACCGTGCGGCCTGAAAGCTGGGGTTGGGGAAGAGGAAATATTTTCATTCCTGATCCCCCTAAATTTTGGAGACCCTCAATTGGAGCAGTGAAATTCATTCACTCTGGCCAAGTGTTAAGGAGCCAGGGAGGCTACATTGCTGAGAGTCAAAGTCTAGGCTTCTGAACTGGACACTACCATAAAGAACTGGGTAGGCTTGAAAAGCTCCTCCTCCTATTCCCACACCTCAGCTTCTCCTCTGATTGAAGTGAGCCCAACTGCCCTCTTTCCTGGCTAGCAGCTGCAGAGCGCTGTCCAGCCATCAAGGTCCGTCCATTCTCTTGGGGCCACTCTGGAGCTGCACTGGAGAACACGGAGAACAGGCTGCCCCTGGGCTCTGCATAGCTTGAAGCAGAACAGCAGCCTGCCTCGCCAAGCACCCTGCCCCACCCCCACCCTCTAAGGCTGCTGGCTCATCTGGGTTTGCTCTGTCAGTTGGAAGATAGGGCTGGCTGACACCTGCAATAGGGCACACTGATTAATTTATTTTGCATCATTTTTGCATTACCTGGCTCCAGGGCCTCCAGCTTGACATGCAGATTTATGTAAAAGAGACCCAACATGCAAATGAGCCAGGTCCGCCACTTGTTTTAGTAACAGGCAAGGCTGCAGGGCTGGTTCCTCAGCCCAGCTGTTCTTCCCAAGGCCTACGGGTTCTCTCAGGCCCAGGCCAGTGAGGTGGACCTGTGGGGCCATTCCTGCCTGTCTGCTCAGAGGCCGGGCCAATCTTGACAGCAGGGTTCAAAAAAAGAAGGAGGCTAGCAACACTCCTTCTCCAAGCAGAGTTCTGGCTGGGTTGCCGGTGGAGAGACACAGAGACGAGAGTGAAATAGAGACAAACACAGCAGAACAGGCAAGTGAGGGAGAGGAAGATGGGAATTCCGAGGGGCCGGGAGGCAGATGCTCGGGACAGGGAGGTGGGCAAAGCTCAGAGTCAGAGAGGGTGAAAGGCGGAGGGAGGCAGAGATCAAGAGACCAGGAGACACGGAAAGAGAGAGAGTTGGGGACACATGAGGGGGATGCTGATGGGGGGGGTGGAGACCAAGAAAGGAACAGATTTCAGAGTTGCTGCGGAGGAAGGAGTGAGGATATAGCAACAGCCTGGCTGCGGGGAGGAGTTGGCGATGATGACAGCTTGATGCTCAGGAGTTGGGAAGAAGGAGTCACGGCGGAAGTGACGGGGAGACACCCAAGCTGCCCTCTTGGGAGCACTGGCAAGGTATGGCAATGCTCTCCCCCTCATAAGCCCTTGATTTTGTGCATCTACTTGTATTTACACGTGCACATCGGTCCACATACACAAGCATAGACCACACAGGCACATGTTGGGTAGAAAGAAACATTCAAGAGCCACCAGGCTCTAGAAAGCAGCCTCAGGGGTTATCTAGTTCTGCAGCATGTCTGTCCCAGAGCAGACTGGTCTCTGTCTGAGGCCCCAAAGGAGTACCCCCAATGCCACACCTGCACCTTGGAGCCAGGATGCTCCTTCTGCACCTGTCTGAGCCAGGTTCCCCATCCCCATCTGCCCCTCAGGAACAGAGAGGACCAGCCAGTCTCTCAATGCACTCATGAGCATCTGCAAGTGAACCAACAAGCCAAGAGAGAAAGGGGGACCCCTTCTGTGTCATGCAGTTCTTTTAGAGAGAAATGGAGTTTCTTGGAGGAGGGAACCCAGTCTAGGCCCTGGGGTGGGTGGTCTTGGAGTGCAGTGGGGAGAGGGCTGGGAAAGCTCCCTGTAGCTTTTGGGATAATTACTGCATCCCCCATACAGGAGCTCCAGGGAGGGGCAGGAGGGGTTATTTCTTAAATACTAAGATGGTAGCACTGAAGGGCCCCTCAGAAACTCTCTAGCTAGCCCAACTTCATCACTTCATGGGAGAAGGAACTGATGCCCTAGGGGACCCCAGGGCTCAGCTTGGATCCTTTTTGCCGTCTTACCTGCAGAGCACTGATGGTGGCCCAGGAGACAAAGCCATCAAGAAGCTTGGGCTCAGGGAAGAGCCTCGCATGAACACCAGGATTGAACCTACGTTAGGATGTGGTCTCCAGGTATACAGATGACCTCAGGAACATCCCTCATGTATACACACACACACACACACACACACACACACACACACACACCATACACATCTAGCAGTGAAGCCAGCCCTGGCCATGCTGCTGCTGAATCTGACCCAGACTTCTCATTTCATCCAAAGGCCATCTGGCTCCATTCTGGCCAGTCACAAGGGTCACTCTTTTGTTAACCTCTAGTGGAGCATTTGTGTGTATGTGGTGCCAGGGATGGAACCCAGGGGCTTGTGCATGCCAGGCAAACATTCTACCATTGAGCTACATCCCCAACCCTTCTTCTCCAGTATGCTTTAAACCTGTGGGATGAGAGACTCTTGTGAGAATAACGGCTGTGGAGGCTTTTTGTAATTTTACACCTATATCCACAATATTTTGCACACAATGTTGAAGCCCTCAGTTTAAGACAGACAGAAGAGTACTCCCTGCATCTTCGGGTCCCAGGGCACCTCACATTTCAGAGGGAAGCTGTGGCCCTGACAAGGTGGCATTCTAGAACACTTCCCACAGAATGTCTCTCCCTTTTTCTGTCTCAGAGATTTCTAAGTTACTACTTCTTCTAGGTTGGAAGTCAGATCTAAGCTACCAGTATCCCCTAGCCACATATCAGGGAAAGTTCAACTGACATACAGTTCAAAATGCATTTCATTTTTTTTAACCTTAGAGACTCCCTCTCTGTCCCCCTTTCTAATACCTTCCTCCCTCAGTCCCTGAACATGACCTCATTTGGGCCATCTCAAACCAGGGCTCAGTTGAGCACTGGGTCTCAAGGTGGCACCAGATGACATGCAGAGGAGATGATAGTCTTTCCAAGAGCTGACAGATGGTAAATCTATCCCTCTCATTAGCCAGGAGAGAGCAGGGATGACCAAAAGGGGCTCTGAGGATGAGAGTGGATGGAAGGAGGGGGCCAGAGAAGCCGGGCAGGGGCAGGGAGCAGCTGGACTGAGGACTCTGCAGCTCCCAGACCCTGCATGCCAGCTACCCCCACCCCCTGCTTTCCCAAGAGTGGTCATGAGGAAGTTGTGGACTCCCTACTCTGCGCCTGGCTAGAGACACTGAGAGGCCTCTGTGTGAAGGGGAAGCCAATGGAATGGCTGGACTCTGGGGGCCCAGGGCAGAATGGAGCATGGGAAGTTCCATGTGGAAGGCCGAGGACTCCGGGTGGGCCAGACCTCAGAAGAGTAAGGGCGGCCCCCTCCCTGGAGAGGGTTTGAACCAGCCTAGGGGTGGCCCAAGTCAACCAAGTGCCTTTGGATGGAGAAAGCTGTTTAATCTCTCCCTGGAAATCAGGAAGTTGGAACCCACACAGCTGATTACAGGGCCAGAGGAATGATTTCAGAGGAAAGATTAGAAGAATTAAAGTCAGCCCGGGAAGGAGCAGATGAGAGGGAGCTTGGGGCAGGTGGGGAGCTGATGGGGTTGACTTTAAGGCTTCTGTACTCTGGACCCAGTGGGGGTGCCTTGGGGCAGTGGTGGGGGATTGGCCTAGGTGAAGTTCATGGGGAGGGGCTCAGTCTGTCATCTGGGAGGAATCCTGTGGAGACCAGAAGGAATACTTCAAGGGTCTTGAAGGTGAAGAGAGACCTCCAAGAGGAGATAGCAAGAGGCCAGGAGTAGAGTCTGAGCCCAGATCAAGTCCAGGAAGAGCTGTTCTGTGGGTGTGAGGATTGATTTTGTGGAACAGGGCTTGGTGCTCTCCACCAGGCCTGGGAACTGTTCCCAAGCCTCTGGCTAAGCAGGGAAGATAGAGAAAAAAGTGTATGGTGAACAGACTGTCACCGAGGCTGTCCCGGGGCGGAGGGGCAGAGACAGAGGCTATTATTCCAGGAGACCTGGTTTGAAGGACAAGGGCAGTCCAGGGTAAACAGTCTTGTCCTGCTTCAGGTCTGGACAGGAGAGTGGGGGCCTGAAGACAGCTGGGGCACAGGCAGAGAGGAAGGTGATGACTCTGCTGTGTGTGCACTCTAGTCACACACGTGCTTGCGTGTGCTCACGCACACAGCTCTCAGCCATGTTTGCTCTCATATTCTCCCCTTCCTCCCTCCCTCCCTCCTCTCTCTCTTTTCTCTCTCTCTCTCTCTCTCACACACACTTAAACATACATTTAAATAACTTGCAGACGTATATTAGCAAAAACATTCCATCTGGGCTGGGATTTCTCTCATTGCTTTGAATTCCCCTGGGTCTTAACTTGGGAAAAAAAAAAATAGGAAGAGGCAAAGATTTGACTAATGTTGGGTTAAGGTTTTTTCTTACCCCTTTCTTTCTTGGTTACTGACTGCCAAGAATTTATGTTTGTAAAAGGAAAAGAATTAACTGTGTTGATTAAGAGGCAAACTCCCTGGAAATGTTCTCTCTTAACCCTTTGGTACCTTCTCGGCGAGCTGTACCAAGGCTCTCTGGCACAGACCTTGGTGTCCCTGGGCTGCAGGCCCAGAACCTTCCAAGGGGTTGCTTCTCCCCAAAAGAAAATGAGGGAGCAGAGGCAAGCTGGGCCCTTCTGGAGTGCAAGCACATGTGTACCTCCAAGCAGATGCGTGGGCAAGTGGTGTGAGCGTGTGTGCGCGGGTACTATGAGCCAGTGAGGGTGTGCGCACGTGTGTGTGCATGTGTGTGCACACGAGGGAGATAACTGCATACGTGTATCTCTCAGCAAATGTGGTGTGTGCTGGGAGTGTCCTGGCCTGCTGGTTGTACAATAAAACTCCAGGATATTGAGGGGACCTTCACCTTGGCCAAATTAGCAAGAACTGATTTGGCAGGAGCAAGGCCCTGAGGGGACTTGGCACAGAGCAGGTAAGCAGAGGAGCTGGAGGGTGGGGAGGTTTAGCAGAATTAGCAGGTTCTTTCCTGATATCTAGCAGCTGTTGCCACTAGGATGAAGGAATCTCAACCCAGGACTAACCCTGGACATCAGTCAGTGTCCTTGCAAGGGGAGCAGGGTAGAGGGGTTTTTCCTCTTCCCTGATCAGCCTACCTGCCCCACCCCCAGGTCTCCTCTCCTCTTTTGTCTTCCACAGCTTCCCTGTCCTGCCCCTGACCTTCCCCTCCCTGCCCCTGTGCTCCCTGTGCTGTGTGGTCCTAGACTAGATTTTATCATGGGGCAAGGGGGCTGGAGCCTCTGGGAATGGAAGCCTTTGGACATGGGGCTGAGGGGTGCTGCAAAGAGAAAGAGAAGAAGAAAAGAGCTCTCGAGAGACTCTGGGCTTCTTGCCTCTGCATCCACCAAGAACGGCTTGCAGTTCCTTGAGCCCTGCCCCTGGCCTGCCTCCTCCCAGGCTCCTCCTTTGGTTAGCCACTTCCTACTTGTTCTTCAAGTCTCAGATGCCACCTCCTGCTGGAAGTCTCCCTTAGCTCTCATACTTTGCAGTCCCCTTCTTTCAGGACAGCACCCAGGCAGGGCTTACTGTCCACATGGTGTAATCCTTGCATTTCCCATCTGTCTTACCCACCAGGGACCAAATCCCCTGAGAAGGAAGGCACCCCCAGTGCCTGGTCTAGTGCGGTGCCTGGTGTGCAGTCTGGGCTCAGCCCATGTCACTGGGTTGAACTGAAGGCCCTCAACTGCCCAAAGCATCATTAGTCCCTCAGTGTGCTGGGATCTCAAGTGTCTTGTGTACATGCCCCCATGGTGGTGACACTTACCACAGGACCTAAGAGAGCATGGGTCTGATTCTCTCAATTTTCTGTGAGCTCCCCAGGGCAGGGATTCAGCCTTCATCATTCCCAGGGCCTAATATCCAACAAATGTTGACTGAAAGTAAGAAGAACCAACATGTGATGAATATGCAAGAACACACCTGGGGAAAGCTAATTGTGGCTGTAAAACATGTACAAAGAAAAGAGCAACATTGACAGGAGGGAAGAGAAAGAGTTCTTGAGCACTTTCTATGTGCCAGAACTGCCCCAGGCATCTGCAGTACATTATTCTTCTTTCTCCTCATCTTTATCCTGTGAGGGAGGGGTACTTACCTCATTTCCATATAAGGATATGGAGGCTAAGAGAGGTTAAGTAACTTGTCCAAGGTCACCCAGATTAAGCTGGATTCAAACCCAGGACTCACTCTCTCTCTCTCTCTCTCTCTGCAACACCCTCTCTTTCTTTCTTTTTCTTTTTCTTTTTTTTTTTTTTTTGTAGGAAGCAGGTTTATTTGAGCTACAGTGGTGCAGAGGGGCTAATGCAGAAAAATTTCTGGACCCTGCAAACCCAGGACTTTCTGATCCTAGAGCTTATGGTTTCCCGCTACGCCATGTTCCGTGAAGAATGTGAATTTTGAGAAGCTTTGAAAGATAAGAGGGACTCATCTTTGTAGAGAAGGATCTAAAGCCCAGGCAGATGGAGAGGATAGAGGGCTCCCAAGATGGATGGGTATTGGTTCTCTGCTTCCATGAACTTACATAGGATTCTATGTGACCAGGAAACCACTGGGAAGTTGCCAAGGTCACTGCAGGAAGGCAGGAGAGCAGAAACAATCAGGGACAGCCTTGCAAAAAAGAGATCAGCAGCCTAGGCTTGACAGGGGATTGGATTTTCAAAAGGGGCCAGCACAGATATAGTGCTTTCTGGGTCACAAGCACTGTGCTGAGCACTTTGTTAATGTATTTAATTCTTAAGGATATGAGATGGTCCTACTGTTATCCAATAATATAGGTGGGAAGCAGAAGCCCAGAAACGTTAAATTACCTGCCCAAGAGTGTGGCTGGCTAATGGTGAGCCAGGGTAATCTAGTTCCAGAGTTCATGTTCATGGCCATGACACCAAGGATGGCTATGGAGGGCCCCCAACAGGTAGTGGTCGACATGAGTCAGCCTCCAAGGCTGGAGTTTGGGAGTGCAATCAGGTTCTGATTGGAGATAGAGGAGGAATTCAAGTGACAGGAAAGACATAACATCCAGACTAATAAGCTGGGCAATCACTTGGGGCTGGGGTACACTTAAAGTGAGGGACAGGGCTCACTTAAAGTGAGCAGCCTCTGATGGTCTAAATCTCTGCATATGGAGAACTTGTCTTTGTTTCTAGGGCCTTGAAATTCAGCACTCCATCAACCCTGTCCTAGCCCCCATGAGGGTGGTATGGTCATCTGAGGGAAGTCCTATAGCGTCATGACTAGGTAGTTGTTCCAAGGCTATGTCCCCTGGACAGTGCTAATCTATTTCCTCTCCCACGTAGCTGTGAGCAGGGGATCCAGGGGAGTCAGCAAGCAGGGACCTCTCACTGGCCTGGAACTTGCTCCTGCTGAGTGCCTGCTGCCCTAGGGGATTGGGCAGTCCCTGCTGGTGGTCCCCTGCTGTGGCCTCCTGTGTTTCTCCTTTGAAAGCAGGTCCCCTGGGGAAAGGAACTTGCAATCCCTTTGTAGCTCAGCTCCAACTTTGCCCTAATTAGAGGAGGACTGTCTCCTCCCCCTTTGTTAGTCTTGATGGGTGAGTGTCACTGTCACAGTCTCCTTCCTCTGTCCAGAAAGTCCAGAGACACTTGAGATGAGTACAGCAGCCAAACTGTGGGCTGATGGAAGATGGTGACTCCCAGACATTGTCCTGGTCTCCTGGTTTGTATTTTGGGGTAGAGTAGGAATTTTGTATCACAGAACACTAAAATGTGCTTCAAACCCACGTTCAGGAGACACACTTCCTGCAGCAGGTTGGAGCTTTGGATTTGGCTTCCTGGGATCCCCTTACATTTTCTCTCATAGCCTCTCGACTACCACCACCCCAAGCTAGACATTTTTTCAAAACCCTCCCTTGAGGGCTGGGGTTGTAGCTCAGTGGTAGAGTGCTTGCCGTGTAAAGCACTGGGTTCGATCCTCAGCACCACATGAAAATAAATAAATAAAATAAAGGTATTGTGATCATCTACAGCTAAAAAAAAAAAACTCCCTTAAACACCCCTTTACCTTGTAGTCCCCCAAGTATCCTCACATCCTCAGCCCATAGGATGCGCCTCCTATCAGCCCTGGGATGCATATACCTCAAATATTATTAGGCCCATTTTACAGATGAAGGAAGCTTCGTGACTTTTGTAAGTCACATGGTGAGTGAGTCACATGGGCTGCACTATTAGATTTCTGGGCAGTTGGGCCTGAGGTAGCCAAGGACGAGGAGGGGGCCGGATCTGGGTTGATATAGTCAAGGGTTTGGAGGAATCGAGGGGATGAGTGATCACAGTTCTTCTGCACTCTGAAAGTCCCACCCTGAGTCATGTGCCTTTCCCTGCCCTAGATGCGCCAGCTCCTTCCCAGCTGAGCTGTGTTGAATCATCTCACTCTTACTCCCTCTCCAAGGTGCTCTCAGGCAGGACCTCGTGACTTTCGTAGGATCTGACGCAAGATCTGTTTCAGGTAGGCAGTGTCTGTGGAATCTTCGGGTATAGGGCCTGCATCTAAACAAGAGGAAGTGTTTGGGAATGATTTATGAAAGAGGAAACACCATGAAAGCCATTTGATCCCTTCAGAGAAAAGAGATTCACAAGTCTACAGTGGCGGCGTCAATCATAATGGCCAATTACACAACAATGTCAACAATTACACCTTGCATTTCTGTGGCACCAGCTCCCAAAGAGCATTAAACATGTTCAAGTTTATTAGGCTATTTGATCTCATAAAAATCCCACAAATGGGTAGTAATGGTTATGATTACCATTTTATAGATGAGAAAACTGAGGCCCAGAAATAATTGATATATCCTAGGCCCTACAGCAGAGGGAGTCGGGAGGTAGGTCTGGGTCTGGGTCTGTCCTGTTTCTTGACGTTTCCAGGTGTTTCATGCATGAGACTCCCTCTTGGTGTCTACATTCCTGTGAGATGAGGCGTGGACAGAGGAGGTACTGAAAGGAGTCTCAGGGAATTTTCCTGAACAAGGTCATTCAAGGCAGTGAGTCAGGTACCTTTATTTTGAGGTCAGTTTCCTCTTTCACTTCCCCAAACAATTGCTGGGGAGTGAGCTCACCTGTCACCCTTTCTCAGCTCAGGAACTGAGGTATTGGTACAGTTGCCCCTGGAGGTTTTGTAATAGTGATCTGAAAAAGACATCAATGTTCCTATCCCAGGATTTCTGCACTCCTGGTTCCCCAATCCCCTAGCCATGGATGGGGTCCGCTCTAGGCCCATCTCTTACAGCAGCCTCCTCACCAGTTTCCTGATTCCGTCTCCTTCCATTCAATCCTCCCCATGTCTGATCTGCCAACAGATGTCCTCTACTTCTCAGAAGTTGTCAGTGGAATTCCACTGCCCTCAGCCTAGCACTCAAGACCCCACCTAATCAGGTCCCAAACCACCTCCTCATACCTTGTCCCCATTCTCCTGCACAAAACCCTGCCTTCTCCCAGATTGGAGAACTGGCCTTGACATACCTGTGTTTTCCCAACTCTATAGTTCACTGCCAAAGCATTCCCTTGGCCTGGAAAGCCACTCCCAACTTCTGTGCCTGCTGGATTTCTATCCATCCTTCAAAGCCTATGACAAACGTGACCTCCTTCATGAAGCCCTCCCTCCATTCCACCAGGAAATGATCTGTCCCTCCTGGATGTCTCATAGCACCTGGTATACAGGTATCTCTATATACAAACAATTCTCTGTGCGTCGGGGCAGTGGTGTAGAGCTTCGGGTGTTTGTACAGCTATGAAGATTGCAGGATTCTGCAACATCACTCATGTGCCTCTGTGTATGTGTGTGTTGGGGTGAGGGGCGGAACACCTGTACATCAGGAAGGGACTGATCACTTCCTGGGTTTGGAGTATGTCAATCACTTCTGCTCTGCCAGTGAACAGAGAGCCAGATGTCTCTCACAGGGGAGAGAGGACACTCACAATCAAACCCATAAACACACTTAAAAGGAAGAAAGTAGATAGAGAGGAAGTGAACAAGTGTGTTCTGCTCATTTACTATATCCCAGGCGCTGTGGGAGAGAGGAAATTTCCTATGAGCCATGTGTTCATTTAATGCTCACAACAGATCTGAAAGGGAGGAATCATTGCCCCCATTTTGTGGATGAGAACTGCTGAGAGTCAGGGGCAGTCTCTGAGAGGAAGACCTCTGGGCAGGAACACTGGGCAGTGCTCACAGAGTGCCAGGGTATCATGGAAGCAGGATCATCCACGAGATGATGAACCACAGTGAGGCTCCCTCAAGGCCTCAACTGTTCTCATGGTGTACACGGAAGCTTGAGAGCCCTTCAAAGTTACTCCCTCCTGGAAGCAATGGGGGCTGAGTCCTTGTACCCCCTGGGAAGGGGACATAACTTAGGCAAGATGGCTGCCTTCATCCAAGGGCAGTTCCCAGGAAGGGTTAGCATCCACACCGGTATACAGTGGACCTCAGAAATGCCTGCCTCACAAACACACCTGGCTGGCCAGTGAAAGGGTGTCCAACATGCATCGTCAGACATGAATGGATGACCACTCCCAGAAATATCCCATGAAAGGAATAGTCTCCCCCTTTTTTTCTGATCAAATAGATCTAGTGTTGAATAATAGCAATGAGAAGATAGGTACAGATCCTCTAGTTACTGATATTTTGTGACTTTCTAGTTCTTAGTCATATGCTGGGAATTTGGTGGTGGGATCTGAGTGTAACATTCCAACTATTTAACAACCAGGTAGACACCCAGGACACCAGAGTGGGTGCTGACAGTGTGGCACTCTAGGGCATCACAACTGGACACTAGACCTGGGGAGACCCCAGTGTCATAGCTGCAGTTCCCTGTTAAGTGCCGTATGCTGAGGGAGAATCCCGGTAAGGGCTCTCTTTAGAAAACAGAGCCTCTCTTGAGAGGCAGGCCTCCTCATTAAACTGGCAGTTTGATTCAGCATGCAAAATGGAGACAGAGGCTATGCAGGAAGCTTCCCCCCGGTGCAGGGCCAGCATTGTCCATCAGTTCTGTAGTCTCCCATGCTTTCCCAGTCCAATTTGTTGCATGAAATCTGTGTGACCCTAGGCAGGGAACAATCACCCTGCTCTGTGGTTCAGTGTCCTCATTTATAAAATGAGAGGTTTCCAAACCCTGTTTCTGCTTGAAACAGGAGAATCTGGTGAAGCCCCCTTAGGGGAAGGGAGGTGAGTGGGCCAGACCCAGGGCCTCCTACCCTACTTTAGCAAGAGCAGCTCCGCTTGTATTTGTTTATGCCTCCATAAGGTTTCACTTAGACCCAGCATTCCTGAGCTAAAAACAAAGCTCGAGAACCACTGGGCTGCATATGATATATGAGGTCCCTCACATGAAGCTCATATGTGAGTGAGCGAAGGGAGAATGAGTGAAGGAGGGAATGAATGAATGCTTTGTGTGCCTAGTTAACACAGGCCAGTTTCTGGTCACACCTGTTCTTGGAGCAGATGGCCTGCTGTCCTGGGTCCTTTGGAAAATTACGCAGGGCTAAGATCAGACACTCTCCCGAAGTCCTGACGATGACAGGATTCTGCCTGTCTCCACCACCATCCCCACTGACAAGCTTCCTCCCTTCAGGCTTCTCTGATGCCACCAGATCCAAACTGGAAAGTCACCAGCAGCAAATCCTCCTGCACTTGTCTCCTTTGACTCTCACAACACGTTGACTCAGCTAAAAGATACTGACAACAGCAACGCGAGTCACTGGCAAGTCTGGCAGAAGATCACTGGGTTTTCTCAGTGTGCGATCCAGGGTGTGGCACCGAGTCTGGTTTGCTTCAGTTCCATTCCCTCCCGGGAAAGGGCTCCCAAGTTTGGCCTTGTCCTTTCTCCCACCATCCCTATCTTATTGTTTTCCTTTCTTTCTCCCTTCCTTTCATTCCTCTGTTGGTAGTGCTCAACCTAGTCTGCACGTGGGAATTGCCTAGGGAGATTTAAATACTACTGATGCCCAAAGATTCTGATTCTTGGTTCGGGGTGTAGTCTAGGCAATAGGATTTGCAAAAGCTCTCTAGGTGATTCTACTATGCAAACCACTGATCTGGGGACATGGTTGTGGGATCCCAACTTTAGCCCTGAGAGTCAGATGTGCCTGCTTTGGATTTGAAGAAGTGTGGGGTACTGGCATGTATTAGCTATGGAGGAAGGAAAGGGAAGTGGAGCGAAATAAAACCTGCCCATATTCCCCTGCCCCACCACTCTGTGAACTCAGGGAAGCCAGTCCTGTGGGTGTCCAGGCGACAAGGAGTAGAAGAACATATCAAGACACATTGAGGCTCTGGCACACCAGGGGCACCAGGGCAGTAGTGCTGTTCAAGAGCCTCAGGTGCTGTCATTTAGAGAAGCTCCAAGAGACATTGCCATGGGCCCGGGCAGCAGCACTGTCACAGGCCTGCCAGCAACAAGGCTTGCTCTGGAGTGATCGTGCGCAACACGGTATCACAGTGCAGAACAGGGTGGGGAGAAGGGATTTTGATAAGACACAACACCCATTCTCGCAGACAGTCCTGTTCATGAGCACATGTGGGGCACTCCCAAGGGGACCCCTAAATCACAAAGAAAAGCCTAAGGCAGATGGGAGCCAACACAGTGAAATCTGGTCGTTTCATTGATGGGGTCCCATCTGGACTTATGGAATGGTGAGGTCTAGGGACACTGGGTCACAGATACAAGCCACAATTATGAAAGTGGTGGTATTGGCAGTGCGGTAAGGTCTAGCAGACATTTGGCAACCTTCTCCGAAATTGCCCCTTAGTTGGCTCAGCCCTGCCCCTTGCCCCCACATAGTTTTTTCTCTGTGTGTTGACCGTGCAATCAGGTCCTCGCAACTCATGGCTCCCTGCATGTATGCACCTAGTGAGAATGATTTGCTTTGCTTCCTGTGCAAGTTCTTTCTCTTCTTTTTAAATCACATTCTCTCCTAAATTAGAAAACCTCTTTAATTGTTAGCAGGAGCTGGGGTTCTGCGCCTTGCATGGACAATATCATTAAACATTGGAAAATAAACAAACTGGAAAAGTTTAAGACATTTTCAAACCCTTTGCTTCCCAGAGGGCGTCTGGGGCCCTGGATAGGACAAGGTTCTGCTGGCCGGGGTTTATATTGTGTTGATGACTTGACCCCTCCAGCTGTGAGAAGCCAAACTGACAGCGGGGTTGTTTTTACTAAACTTCCCAGGATCGCAAACTTGATTTGGGAGGCATTTGCGCTGATTTGCGCCGAGGTCTCCAGCGACTGCAATGAGCTTCCTCCTCGGGCAGAGTGCATGCTGGGAGTGGGCCAGTGGCTCTGGTGGCTGACAGCTGTTGTAAACCATCGCTGTCCTCCAGAGTTATTCCACAGAGCTGGGGAGGGGAGGGGGCTGAAGGAGGGGGTGTGTGAGAATGTTTCTTTCCATCTTGCTGAAATGTGAGTCTAATGAAATGATAATGAGGTTGTGGCCTTTAAGCTCCATTGAGCTTCTTGTGCATTGTAATTTTACCCAGAGTGGGGCTAGTTTTTGAAATGATTAAAACTATCGATTCCTAGGCCTGTGTGGCTTGAATCAGAATTCATTAGAGGCCCGGAGGTGAGGGATAAACATTTTCCCCTAGTTCCGCCAGGAAACAGACCCCATCTTGTGTGAGTCTCTGGCTGGCTCAGGTACCCCTGGCTGTGCTGGCAGCCAGACCAATAAGTAGGACCCAGTGTCCATAGAACAACAAGTTATGAAGGTCCCAGCTGTGAGCCCCAGCCCATCTTGCTGGCACTTCTCCTTCAGGTTAGAGGAGACAAGTTCACTGTTTCGTCTTGGTTCCAGTTTCTTACAGGTATCATAAACAAAATGTCTTCTCCATGAAAAAGAAACAGGCAGAAACAGAAATGTTCCAAAGTTTTAAACCAAAAGAATACTAGAAGGGGAAAGTCCGGCTGGGTGGGGTAGCTGACAATGTGACCTGACCTTGAGCCTCCTGAGCAGTATTTTTCTCTGGATAGAGAGGGGTTTCTTCTATAATTTTTGTCACCACCATGCTACCTCACAACAGCATGGGATTCATCCTTCAAAGTTCTAATCCAAGTTCTCTAGAGCTAAGACATCTTTGAGAAGAACCTCATCTAAGTCAGGCATGGTGTTGCACGTCTGTCAGCCCAGTGATTTGGGAGGCTCAGGTAGGAGGATCACAAGTTCAAGGTCAACCTCAACAACTTAGCAAGACCCTATCTCAAAATAAAATGCTGGGGATGTAACTCAGTGATAAAGCACCCCAAGTTCAATCCCCAGTACCATAATAATAATGATAATAATAACAAACTGAACTAATATTAAGGGAGTCCAAAAAGAAAAAAAAACTATAGGAAATGTCATCTTGCCTTAAAGGGTTGAAACAATTCGCAAATAATTAGACCCCCATAGCAACCACCACTTGAATTCCTGCCATCTTAAAACTGGTCAATCTCTCCTCCTGATCCCTTCTCCGACAAGCCTAAATGGTTATATTCTAATGGCCCACCTGGGACCCTCTGTTCACATCCAACTTGTGGTCTGAGGAACATCCTTTATCCACAGTGGATCGAAGAGGGGAGCATAAATGACTTAAGGAGGCAGTTGGGATGTAGCTGTCCACTTGAGGCAAAGCAGCCTGGCCAAAGTCTCCTTGACTGCTGTCCCCTCCTTTTATAGACTTACTGGGCAGTCATGGTCATAAAATGCACACGACAATAATTTTATTCAGACTGGAGCATCAAGATTCACCATCAAGGTCATAGATACCATGTCATGTCCACATTTGGAAAATTATGTGGAATGTCTCCAACTTTTCTGCTCACCTTTTATAAGTCAGCTCAGGCATCAGCATCCAGAGACCCTCTCCTACCACCTATACCAGGAGGGTGGGGACAAGCCTTCCTGTAGTTTTCTGAAGGATGGTGGGCATCTAGGGTCCCCATTCCATATTATGTTATTATTTTCATCTAGACAATGGGCTCCTTGAAGGCAGTGTTTGAATTTTATTCCCCTTTGTATCTCATCATCTAGCACATTTTCTGGCACATAACATACCTGGGTAGGTGATGGTTGAATGAATGAATGAAGGAAAGTACCTATGGTGGATGTCATTTGATTCTCAGAACAATAATATGAGCCACGCAGGGCAGGAATATGAGCTCTGATTTCCTGAAAAAAGAAAAAAGAAACAGAGTCTCCAGGAGGTAGGGCCTTGCTTTAAGGTCACCTGGTTCCTGGAGCTGGCACCAGGGCTGTGGTGCAGTCTGGTGGTAGCTCTGAGAGAGGCCCGCTGCCCACACTAGCTCTGATTCTCTAAGTCACTGGGCTGCGTGAGAGTCGTTCTGAGGTGCCGCCTACACAGGTGGTTCCCGAGCGGTTCATATCAAAGTCCCTTTTTATCATCCCCCTGCCCCGCCCCCAGCACCCCAGGCTCTGAGAGAGTTGGCCTAACAAATGAACTACAATTATGCAGTAATAATGACTCCATTTTCTCGTTTTTATTAATAAAAGACATATGCGACATGCCACTCAGTGTTGGGAGCTTTCAGCTGGGAGAAAACGAGTTTTCCCCTCTAGGTTAATAGAATTCCACCCAGAGGCAGACAGTTAACAAGCCACCTTCCTGGGCTGGGGCTGGGACTCTCAGCACTACACTTGTCAACCCTTTGGATGGGCCTTGGTTCAACGCTGTGGCCTGCCTTGGGCTGGGCCCAGGGTCACAGGAGACAGAGCCGTTTCAGGGGCTCAAGGGTAGCCTGCCCATCCCCACTGGAATCAACAGACCCTGACTGTTGGGGAAGCATTACTGCAATGTGTCAGCTGCTCCGGGAGAAGCTGGAGTGATGTATTCCAATACCTGTCAGGAGAAAGGGTTTATGGTCAGTTAGGAACCGTAAACCCCTTCCCGTGGATTGCCGGTGGAATTTTAATACTGTCCCTCTGTCTGGGCACTTCCTTCCAATCTTGGCCCTGTTCCTCCATACATATGGAACAGGGCTCATGTGTGAGGGTCCCAGAGGAGAGCACATGGCTTCGCTCGGCCCAAGTGTCACTGCTGAAAGTGGGAGGTGAGGCTCAGACAGGGCCGGCTGCCTTTCTGCCCACCACTGGGCCTGGATACCAGGTCTCTCAGGGCCTCCCTTCCAACTCATGGCAACAGTGAGGCCATCCCTGCCCAGATCTTGAAGGTGGAGGAAAAAATGGAAAAACTCTAGCCTGTCTCCTTCCTTCCTTCCTTCCTTCCTTCCTTCCTTCCTTCCTTCCTTCCTTCCTTCCTTCCAGCAACAAATCCATAATGAGGGCCCACTACATGCTAGGCAGGGATCCAGAAGCCAGGGACCAGACGGACTCTGCCCTATCCTTAGGGCACCTCTCCCTGTTGCTACTCAGCTCTGATCACCCCACAGCAGGTAAACATCAAATAGGGCAAAGGGAAAAGAGGGGGGAAATGAGAGAGAGGAGGGCAGCCAGTAAGAAGTCTTGCAGGCAGGGATGACCTCAATGTAAGAGGAAGTGAAATTGGAAAACAGGCTCTAGATGACTTGGGGAACCCAAATGACACTTCTGCCCTTCTACTCAAAAAAGAAAAAAAAAAAAAAAAGAAAGAAATTCTCCTCAGCACTCTTAAGCTGCTTGACATTCTGCTATCATCCCAGAGTCATTCTGACAGGAAAGCTTTTTGTTCTTTAATAGTTGTCTCTGAAAACCAACCCCCATGCCCCCCCCCCCCACCTTACACACACCAAAGGCTTGCTGCTTGTTACATCTCCTGAGTCCTTAGTAGGAATGCCCTTCTGAGATATTAGGCCAAGAGTTTTGGACCAGTTTGCCTCCAGAGGACACTGATGAGGCCACATACTCTCCAGCCCCTGCCTGGGCCCTGCCCAGTAGTGGGGATGCCAGAAGCAACCAATGGTCATTATCATCCATTCCGAAAGGTGGAATGGAGGTTCTTCCCAAAGAGCAAAGCAGGGCCATGTCTCTAGCTCTCTACTGTGTCCTTGGCACCTGGAATTGAGTCCAAGACATAGTAGGTGTTGGATAAATATTTAGTGAATGTCAAAGGAAGCACACATTATCTCACCACTTCCTCACTCAAGATGGCCTGCGATTCTTCTGGCAGGCTGGGGGGTAGGGAGAATAGAACTTACCCTCTGCTGAAGGCTTGCTATGTCCCCCGTCGGGGGTGGGAGGGGCACATGCTCACTGGCAGATCTCCCCTAGGGCCCCAACATCTCCCCTGGTTCTGCCCTCTACCCAGCTTCTAGAAGGCAGCTCTGCTTGCTCACCTCCCATTCTCTCCCCTGGCCTCCTCAGCCAGTTTCCTTCCCCACCATGCCACTGAAACCGCTGTGTCAAAAGGCACACAGTAGTCTCCTGATGATGCTTCCAGGAAACACACTCTAGGCCTTGTTGTGGTATTGGACCCTCCTCTGTTCGAACATCTCCCTCCTGCCCTGAAACTATCCTCCTCTCTTTCCCTGCAGTTTCCTGAACTTGGCTCATGTGTCTCTTTGGCTTTTCTTTTTCTTCCTTCATTCCTTTAAGGGGACAATCCTTCTCCATGTGACTTTCAGCCTTTCACTCTTCTCCTCAGGTAGCTTGTCTGCCATGGGTAACTCCCAAATCTACACATCTTACCTGGACCTCACTCTTGAGTGTCAGACCTCCATTTCCATTAATCTCCATTGGAGATCCTAGAGGCAACTCATCCATGACCAAACTAAGCTGTTGACATATAATCTCAGATTGACTTCTCTTTTTCCCACTACACCATGAGGCTCCTCCTAAGGATTCAGGTTCCAGTCCAGGCTGAGCATCATTTACATTACCCAGGAGCAATCTGAAGTGAGTCCCTATTTCTTGGCTTCTCTTCTGTGTCTCCTGTGCCTAGGTCAGCCTCCTGGTATGTGGTGAACTTTCAGGAATATCTGTCGAAAAATGGTCAGTACTACTTAGTAGAAGAAGCAGCTTCTAGAGAATCAGTTTCCCTAGTCTTTCCCAAACTCCTCTCATCTGTCTACCTTAAGGGAAAGGGCTT